CTCTTATTTGTTTGGTGGCAGAGTCGCATATTCGAAGATGGCAGAGGAAATCTGCGAGTTGCTTCTGTCAGGTCTGAGTGTGTATCCTGATCGAGAGTCTCAGCTAAGTTGTTTTATTACAGCCTTCAAATCTCCTTTACCAGAAGATGTAAGATCATCACATCTGCAAGATGCTGTCTCTCTCTTCTCTCTATATCTCTCGGAGACAGGCCAAACATCAGCTTAGTGACCCATTTTTTACTTATTAACTCTTTGAGGAGGAGGGTCTTATTTTTTTTACTAGTGGTCAGTGGAATCACAGATGGCTTTGTCGTGTGTATCATGTATGTTATATTTAGAAGCGTGAATGAAGATGATTTGTTTAAAAACTTGCCAAATCTTATAAATATTATTTGAAACCATCAGCTCAAAAATAAAAAGATGCAGAAGGGAAAGTAATTTCTTTTCTTGAAAAACAGGCCAATTTCATCACTATTTTAAATGAATTTTGTAATGTATTTAGATGATTTTTTATTTTGTATTCCCTCCGTCCAAAAATATTCACTTTATTTTGTATTTCCTCCATTACAAAAGATTCACGTTTTAAAATTCTCACACATATTAACAAAATATATATTAAGTTTTGATTATATGATTGTTAATGCATTGTTTTTGAATTAATTATTTTCTACAACTTTTGATTAATAGAATTTCATTGAACATGATTACTTTTTCGAAGTCTACAATTTATCACTAAATAATGTATTGATAATATAAAAATGTATATATGTCGAAATAATTTTTTCTCTAAAACATGCATATTTTCGGGATGGACGGAATATCTTAACTATTGTGTTGAATTTTCTTGTTAGAAAAACTATTTGATACACATAAAATAAAAGATGTCTCATTAAAATAGACTTTTTAGAAAATTGATAAATCTAATCTATTAATTTAGGATCTTAATTTTTATCTACTGTTTGAAGTTTTATTTTAAACTTTGGACCTTTTCAAGTTTGTTAGTAAATTATACACCATTTCAAGTCTGTTACAATAATATTATTAGTCGCTTAATATAATACAAACGAATAACTTAAAGTAAACCAACATCTAATCTATTAACCTAAACCGATCTCTTAAATCAAAAAATTATAATAAAACTAAACGAAGGATTATATACTATCAGATTAACAATACAATAATTCTAACTAGACCTCATGTTCGTGCAGATGATTGTCTTTGCTTCTCTTCGGATCATGGACTGCGACATTACAAAATTTAATTATTTCATATTTTGTCCATCTTTCATCGTAGTAATGTCCCACTGATAGACTTTTTCAGTAATCTGATTTTCTTTCTTACAATGATGCATAACTACTCTATTAACTTAGAACTAGGTGATTTTCCCGTGCTCATGCACGGGTATAAATATTAATAAAAGTAAAATTTTATAATAATTGATTGATATTTAGTTTTAGTTTTGTATCAATTCATATGTATAATTTATATTGATAAATATTATATTATTCTAATTATACATATGACTTTGGATATATTATTTACGGTTTAACTATTTTTTGGATCAATAGTCGGTTTGGTTACCAATTTGGTATATTGGATAATATTTATTTTTCGAATTCAGCTATAATATTTTTATTGTAAATATAATAAAACTTTGACTAATTTTCTTATTTTCATTTCAGTTGGTTATTTTCTTAGATATGTAAATATATTCTTAGATATGTAAATATATTATAGTTAAATTATATATAACTTAATATATATATATATATATATATATATATATATTGTGCTTAAACTAAAATAAATAATAAGCTGGAGTGTTTGATTCAAAATTACATAAATGAATATAATGATAATATTTTGAAGTCTCATGCATATATATAAATTATACAAAAGAATAAATTGTAATTAGTTAATATTTTCTTTTTCTTTTTAATATGATTTGAGTCAACCTCTAATTTATATGTATAAAATTAAAAAGATTATTATTACTATAAAATTATATGTTCTTATTGTAGTTACATGTTTAATTTTGGATATAAATTAGATTAGTCGAGTCATTCATGTTGTGAGTATATTGAGTTAAAATTTAAGTATAATTACTTTTTTATTTTAGTTAAGTATAATTAAATTAGTTATATTAATCGCTTAAATATACATGTATTTTAATAATATTTATTTATTCCTTATTTTAGTTAAGTCAAATCAAATTAGTTTTATTTATCGCTTAAATATACAAGTATTTTCATAATATTTATCAAATTATATGTTGATTTCTAAAAAATATTAGAAAATAAAGTTTAACTGAAATTTTTTGGATGTTCATGAACATATATATATTTTTATTATTTTAAATATATTATATTTTATTTAAAAATATATATTAATGGGGTATATTACTATTTTATGAACTTTCCTTTTTAATAAAGTCATATTATATACATATATTTTCGTTTTTAAATCTGTTTTAAAATTTTAGGAATATTTCCTTTTTATTATATATGTTATTTGGAAAAACTAAAAAAGAAACTAAATAAAAAAATTAATAATAAACTTAAAATCTAACAATTCATTAAGGGTATCTATGTAATCAACCATCGCGAGAGTTAACGTGAGCGCGACACGTAGGAAACTGACTTCTCAAATATAATACATAAGAGTTATAATTTTTTAAAAAAATATTATTAATATAAATTTGTTTTAATTGTATAATAATTGTTATATCTGAGTTTAAAATTTAAGTTTTATAGTAGATAATATATTTTCAAGATAACAACATAATACTCAAGAATTATCTTATTTTCTAAAAATATGGTATTATTAATATAAATTTGTTTTAATTGTAAACAAATTATATTTAAAACTATATATAAATATTAAAATATGAAAAATAAGAAAAATTACCTAAAATTATGGAAAAGTTGACAAATCAGCAAATTTACTTCTTAAATAATAGTATAGATTGTAATTTTTATCTACTGTACACAAGTTTTAATAGGAAAATTTAATTAATTATTTAATATGATATATTTAATTATTTATATTAATCAATCAAATATATACAAAAAATATATTGAGAAGAATAAATTTAAATTATTGTGTTTATAACAAAAAAAATTTAAATATTTTTATACAAGAATGCAACTGATTTCATAATTATTAATATAGTATTATTATTCATTAATATTAAAATTTTACTATAAAACAGAAATAAAACTATGCTATTTTATAAATTCCCTAACTATAATATATATTATATTAAAATAGGAATAGTATATGAATTAAATAAAAACAATTATATAAAATTGGTAAATTAACTTATTATATTTCAATAATTCTTTCATTTAAATAAATAAACTAGCATTCACTTTTAAAAAGGGTTAAAATTCATCAACTATGCATAGTTTTATACAGAATATGTTAGCATATCTTAAACTATTATATCTACAACTGTATTTCTTATTTTTTATTTTATTTGATATCAAAATAATATATTGCATAAAAGTAATTATATACAAAATATACTATTATATAAATAACTTTTTTTTAGTTCATTAGTTATTTAGTTCATTAGTTATTTTTTTTAGTTCATTAGTTACAAAATATAATACTTCAGTTTATTAGTTATTTACAAAAAAGAGTATCAGAAAGTTTTAATAATTCAAAAGATATAAATGAAAATTATATTTTACCTACAGATTTAAGGTTTTTAATTATAACAAAATCTGTTGACAAAAATATAAACTATTTCCAAAAATTAAAATATTTCTATAAAATAATGAATTAATTTATCAACCAAAAAATTCAAAAATCATATAATATTTCAAATTCAAAAATATTTATGTACTTTCAAAACAGTTCTTGTCAAATATACAATTTTGAAAATAAATATTCTAAACTCACAATGAAAATGCTCCAATTTTAGAAAAGATAGAATTATAGATGCTAAAGTGTTTTTTTTTAAATGGAACACGAAAAATGAATATAGTATAATATTTTAAAATCTTAATTTAATAACAAAAAAAACAGAGAATTTAATACCATAAAAATATGTTATATCAATAAATTTAACTAAGATAATATCATAGAAGCTATTATATATAAATTTACCAAAATAATATAGCTAAATTAAGTAAACAGAAAACAAATCTTTACTAAAATGATTGATGTTAAAGTTGATTTTTAAATACAAACGGGCAATCATATTCGAATATTATGTAAAAGACTAAACAATAAGATTATAAAGTTACACAATATGTAACAGGGAAATGTGAATGATATAGTTAAAAGGTTTAAGATAATATCTAATATACAATTTTATAAAATAAAAAAATATATCCGCACGTACGTGCCGGATAAATTCTAGTTGATGTTAAGAAAAAAAGAATAATTTTGATTAGCAAAGGAAAGTTATGAAACAGTTAAAAGGTTTAAGATAATATCTAATATATATTTTTTTAAAATAAAAAAATATCTGCACGTATGTGCCGGATAAATTTTAGTGGATGTTAAGAAAAAAAGAGTAATGTTGATTAGCAAAGGAAAAATTATGGTATAGTTAAAAGGTTTAAGATAATATCTAATATATATTTTTATAAAATAAAAAAATATATCCGCACGTACATGCCGGATAAATTCTAGTTGATGATAAGAAAAAAGAGTAATGTTGACAAGCAAAGGAAAGTTATGATATAGTTAAAAGGTTTAATATAATATCTAATATATATTTTTATAAAATAAAAAAATATATATCCGGACGTACATGCCGGATAAATTCTAGTTGATGTTAAGAAAAAAAAGTAATATTGATAAGCAAAGGAAAGTTAATCAACAAACAAAAGATATTAGTTTATCTCAAAAAAAAAAACGAAAGAGAAGGTATATAAAAGCGTGTACACACATAAAAAAGCCTAAGACTAGAAATTGACCTAAGCTACTCTCTCTTTTGGTTTGCCTCGGTAATTCTCAAAGTTGTGTGCACTTTGATTGCGGTTTAGATGCCTCGCTCTGCGTCCAAGACGTCCAAGAAACGGACTCAACCTGATTCAGTTACCTCTTCAGCCACTGATCCTGTTCCATCAGGTTTCATAATAACATAAATCTACTTAGGGAATTTATATCTTAGAAAACTTGGAATTCGCTATTTGTGATTTTCATCTACGAAAAACTCGAAGTTATGGATTTTCTATTTGGTTATGAACTTGTGTGTTTGGTACAGCTTCTAGTAAGAAAAAGTCGTGCAAAGAGATGGATGCAACAGATCAATTGTTTTATAAGTATGCTAATACATCTTCTGGTGTCATTGAGTAAGTACACAAGATGACATTCCTCTTCTTTGTTATAATGTAACTCGTTCATCAACAAGTTCTAACACTCCCTTCTTATTATTACATCTAACAGTCCAGAAGGAATTGAGAAACTTTGCTCCAGTTTGAAAGTTCCTCATACAGATATCAGAATCTTAATGCTAGCTTGGTACCCAATCCACCCATTACTTCTCTTCTTTATATGTCTTGGATCCGAGCACAAGTGCCTTTATACCCTTTTTCTAACTCGCTTCTTACAGGAGAATGAAGGCTGCAAGACAAGGTTACTTCACAAAGGTAATAGCATTGTTCTCCATGATGAATTACATTGAAACACAAACCTTTTTGCCTTTGATATTTGAAGATTAGGTTCTTGTTTATTAATTTTTTGTTTGTATGAACTTAACCCGTTTTGTACACCTATAACAGGCTGAATGGAGAATAGCACTCACGGCGTTAAAAGCTGACACAATCAACAAATTGAAGAAAGCTCTTCCAGAACTCGAGAAAGAGGTTCTCATCATTGCTTGATCTATTTATTTAACTTGATTAGCATCTTCTTGATATCATAAGACCATCTCTAACCCATCTATATATTCAGACATAATAGAGTTTCTCTATTTTAGAAAAAGATATAAAGAAAAATATAGAAATGTGTTGGAGAAACTCTATAGATTAAGCCTTTTAGAAAAAAAAAAAAAAAAACTGTAAAGATTAAATTGTGTTAATGTTTCTTGGTTATTTCAGGTCAGAAAGCCATTGAATTTTCGAGATTTCTATGCTTATGCCTTCAAGTATTGTTTGACAGGTAATAATATCATCTATCTCTGCGCTATGAACATGATGCTAAATGATTTGTGTGACATCATGATATAACAATTATTATTGTTATTATCCATGCAGAAGAAAGACAAAGGATCTTAGAAATTGAGACTATATGTAAACTCCTAGATATGGTCTTAGGATCAACATTCCGTGCCCAAGTTGACTACTTCGTCAACTATCTAAATGTTTGGCTCCACCTTTTTTGTCTTCAAACATCTTCTTCATCTTTGTTTCAAAGTGTTTATCAGTTGTAAACTCATCATATTATGGACAGAACCAGAAAGAATATAAAGCCATCGACATGGACCAATGGATGGGATTCTATCGATTCTGCAATGAGGTAACTTTACATATTTACTTCCTCCTCACTTGCCACCATCAAGTGTTATTTGCATCTAATGTGGATTGTTTCTTTTGCAATACAGATAAGTTTCCCAGACATGATCAACTACAATCTAGAACATTCGTGGCCATGTATTCTTGACAACTTTTTTGAGTGGATGCGTTCAAAACAAGCATGAACACCCTTGATGAACATATAATGCTTGACATATTGTAGTTTCTATATTCAAATATTATGTTCTTGTCTGGAGATTTAGTGTTGTTGGCCATGTTGCTTTTTCATCATTAAGTTTTTATTTGCGAATTATATCTTGTTATTTTTGAATAGATAAGTGACATAGAATAAATTCTTCTTTATTTTCATAAAAGCAAGTCAATAGAATTCTTTTTCTTCTTTACTTGGCTTCTTTAACAAGATAACAAAGCACAACTGCAATTAGGTAAAAAAAAAAAAAAGATTAAAATAGATTTTATTTATGGTCAAGTGTTGGAAGAGCTGAGAATCAATGGAGATGAAGGTTGCATGGCACGAGTACGAGGACGTCTTTTCCTGCTTCGACCACGAACTTGAACTGAAGGAGAGGAAGATGATGGCGAAGGAGTATCAGTACTAGACCTCTCTCTGCTTGATTCACTCGTCAGTTTCTTCGTCTCAGCTTCTGCTGCTTCACATGTTTTGTCTTGGTTGACTCGGTTGTCCCCGAGCTTGGTCGCGTTCATGGTTGCAGGAAGTACACAATTGCATATGAATCCTATATTTTAACAGAGGGCAAAGAAACAAGAGTGTTTTCAAGAATGTTCAAAATTGCATAATGATGTGAAACTTTAAAGCCAAGGTCAAGTCATATATATCAATAAACCCACAAGCTGAACTTGGTACTCAAGCATAAATATAAAAATCTTTCAACCAAAACTTGGTTCACAATCTAGGGTTGGTTGTATCAATAATTCTTGAAGCTAGACTCGGTTTTCACTTGGTTATGCTCAGAACCGGCTCTGGTTTTTTGTTCAATAACTTAACCATCCCATTATTCTACATGTAACCAAAAGCTAATGAATGTTACTTTACTCACTTGCAAACATTACTACTAATTAAGTAAGAAATAAACCAAAAATGTAAAGAATCAAGGGGTGTTACCAAAGAGTTTACCGATTCTTGCAAGACGGTTAACCCAACTAGGAATTGGATTCCCGGTTAAGATAATACAAGTTTCGTCACAGAAGTGGTTGCAGTTGTTGGTGATGAGATTGTAAGAACTTCCTTTGTACTTGTCTGCAAGTTTCTCTATCGTAGCCTTAACTTCCAAAGGCCCAAGATCAGTTTTACCAATCAATATCGATTTCCTAAACGTAAACCCTTCGCATTGCTTCGGTTCCCCTTCGAATACACCGGTACTTGGATATTCATGAGCTCCAAAAGCATACTCTATACCATGAACTATAACACATAAAAAAAGAAAAAGATTTTTAAGCTAAATTTTTCAAGAAAATATAAACAAACATAATTTGCAACCAAAAGAAAAATAATTTAAGCTAAAATCTTCAAGAAAATATAATAAAAGATTATTTTTAAGTATTGCAACACATTTTCTTGTTCTATGACTTCAAAAAAACTTATCAAGACTTAACATCTTTCACCAAAAAAAAAAAAAAAACTTATCAAGATTGATATTAAATCAATATTTAGATCTGAAGCCTAAATATATATACTTGAAAAATGAAAAATCAAGAAAATGAAAAAGACAAGAGTCACAAATACTAACCTTCAACACCAGAATGGTAAATACCGAGACCAAACCAGTAAGCATAGCCATTGATGGGAGTTAGATCGTAGACATTGAGATAAACCGGAACGTTTCCTCTATCCACAAAACTTGAGTTTTTCCGGCACAGCATTTTCCGGCAGAGTATCGCCGGCGGAAGAAAGTGGTCGCAGGAAAGTTCTGCTTATAGAGGATGACTGGTTCTATATAACTGTCTGAGTTAATGAAAATGTACCCTTTTGAGTTTAGCATAAATTATATAAAATGACAACGAGTTGTCTTAAAAAGTTGAAGACGAAGACGAAGAAAAGACTTGGTTTAGCTAATTACTTTCCGAATCTTGTATTAATTAGTCCCTAATGATATACTTCCATAAATAAATAATTTTTGTTGTTAGTTTCACTTGGCGAAATATTTATTATGATTTGTTATCATATATAAACAGACCATCAAGATTCACGAACGAGTTAATTACCTACAAGACGTCTCAGCTCTACTACTAGAATCGTTTATTCTGTGGTTTATTAATTTACAAAAAAAAAGTCAAATTATTATTCCCTGGTATGCTTTAATAATTTACAGTTTACTATGGGGTCCAATATAAAGCTTTAATATTCCTTATCTTTGGCTCAACTTTTTTTTTGTCTAGCGACACCACCTTTTCTTTTTAAATTGGCTTAAGATGTAATAAAAATAAATTAATATCTGGAAGTGGTGCGGCTAATTATGAAACAGAAACTTATGTTTAAACTTTAAAGCATCTATACTATTAAAATAGAATCCCTTTTATGAATTTACCCTTCAGTTTCCTTGGTATATTGCTTTTTGTGCCATCAATTTTACCTTATAAACCTACACTACATTAAGGGTAAAATCGGTACAGGAAAAATGATCAACTATATGCCTAACGAAATATTTCTTACTAAATACTAAATCTCGGATATTATGCTTCTCTCTCCTCTTTCATAGAAAGCTTTTTCTTTTTTCTTTTGTTTTTGATTTAAGAGAATGATCGGATTATTTGTATTTTTTTTCGATAAATAAGAATTACAATCTCTTAAAATTTTGATTTCAGTTTAAGCTTTTTCACCGTACGAGAAAACAAATACCTATATTTTGTGCTTTTTTATCTTTCTTTTTATAGGTGATGAACTGATGAAGTATAATCTCGGTTGCTAACGTTTTGATTTCTTTGCCTCTGCTGCATCTTGATCTTCTTTCATATAGGGACTAAATATCTCTGCCATCCCGACGTGGACCTTTGAGATAGGTTATTGGTGAAGCTTCCCTTAGTGGTGGTTATACTGAGTTGTGAAAAGCTCACTACATGTTGTTCTGTTTGTTCCCAATGTTTATTCAAAGTGAACAAGATGAAAATTCAAATTAATTAGGTCCGATACTTATGGGAAATAGCTGGTGTTGGTTCAGTTTGCTTGCTGGTGGTGTCCGGGAGATGGAAGATTTCCGACGCCATGGTTTCTCTTCCCAGTTTCATCACATGTGTTCTCACCCGTGTCTTTTAGTTTATGTTGACCTTATCTCTTTAGCAAGTTAAAAACTATGGCATAAATTTTATCCAATGTTTGTGGTGATGGGTATGTTTAAGCCAGCACTTTTTATTGCCTTTGTAGAATGTTGATTAAACCCTCACAGAATGTCACTATAGTTTTATTTATATTTAATATACATTTGTTCACATGCCTTTATTTCATATTTAATCTTTTAAAAACCTTTGTATATTATTTTTCAAGATCAACTTTTAGTTCATATTTAAATGTTGGAAAATATGAAAATAATTATTTTCAGATTTACAACTGTTAAGATAATATATCTATTAAAAACAATAACCAGTACTATTTGAAAACCAATAAAAGTTTTATTATTTGAAAAGTATATATCAAAGTACAAGATAAAAAACATACTACTAAATTCAAAATAAATTAATCTTCAATTATAAATATTAAAACTCAAATGTTTAAAAAACCAAAAAATTATTAAAAACGGGTTAAATTTGGTTTCCAAAGATTTGCTATCATTGTAGAAGATCAGTAGTTAATAGTATGAAAATATTTTATTAAAAAACTGTGAGTTTACAGAACTAATTCAAAATTATCCAAAAATATAAATTTTTGCAGAGCCAAAAAAATTAAAATTTTATCGGATTTCTAATATTATTATCTAAAAAAATTGAAAACCAAACTATTCAGTCACTCTAACCAGATTAGATTTTGTACATAACCAAACGGTTCCTATATCTTAGCCAAAAAAACTGAAAATTTTAAATCGAACTGAAACCGAAAATCAATAAAAAAACAAATTGGAACCTAACCGGAACATCCATACTTAAACATATTAGTTTACAAACAAACGGATTAGTAAATTTGTCAACAAAAAAAATCCCGCGCTTTGAAAGCACGTGTCAAAATCTAGTATAGTATTATTTCGGAGAGCAGACGATATTTAAAAACAAAAATTACTACTATATAATAATGTGTATAATGTCGTAAAGACTATAAACTAAAGAGTTTCGAATTATATGAAAAGTTCAACTTTAAATCTTGAAAATATGAAATATATTAGAGGGCAGCCACTAATTTGTCTTTGTTAATTTCAAAATAATATGCTAATAGTTTAAAATAATAATTAAGAAGAAAATGAGAGGTCCACATCATAGCTTAGAAACAGTCACCAAAGCTGGAAAGAGGCAAAGCGAAAGAGAACCATTCCAAAAAATAAAAAAGGAAACAAATATTTGTTGACAAAGATACCAATTTGATTCAAGTCAGTGTCATAACATGCTAAGTTTGTTACTTGTTCCCTCATTTTGATTACTAGTCAGATAAAACATCTAATAAGCGATAAAAGGAAAAACCCGGTTTATATTTTTAAATCATATCGTACCGATTGGTATAACTTAAGTGATCAATCCCTTAACCAAGTCTGATTCGGGTAACCCGGAAACCCCACTAGCCTCAACGCTGCGTTTTGAAACAATGCGCGAGTTGCAAAAAGTCGTAGTGGAGTTGTTGTCGCCGGGAGAAATCAAGAAGATGCTTCGCGGCAGAGGCTCGTGGGTCGGATTGTTGACCCGGTTGAAACACTATAGGATCCGACGTCTCTGCACTAAAGGAGAGAACGGTGGGAAAAAACCGGAGAAAACGGAATCGAGTGTTGTTGTTGTTTCTCGATACGATGAGACGTACAAGAAACTGGATAAGCTCGATTTCTTGACGGCTGCGAAGATCTTGTTCACTGAACCACCCAAGAAGAATAAGTTTGGGTAACTTTCTCTGCCTTAAAAATCTCACCTTTGGCAAATAGTAATGTGACACATAAGCTCAAAACTGTGGAAAGTTTGCTTCTTTAGGTTGAAACTATGTCTTGTTGTAATGTGAGTTCTTGTCCTGGTTATTTGTTGTAGTATGTCCTTATATGGGTTTTTACTTTTGTGTTAGGCTTGATTGGCACGTGGTGCAGTTCATTATCGTCTCCTTGCCGTCTCTAGGTATTTAGGATCACTCCTGTCAGTTTCTCTCCTAAGTGTTTTCTTTTTAAAGGTCTCAATGTTGCTTGTTTTTTTTTTGCTTGTAACAGCTGTGTATCTAGTTGCTCAATATGCTCGCCGTAAAATGAAGATTATGGATGCTGTGAGTTTTCTCATTCTTGCTCATATGTTTTCCTGAGAGAACTGAGCAATGTTTATACTCAGAGGCAAGTCTTGCTTATGTTTTTTGAGTATCTGGCTTATGATATTGGACTTGTTTTCAGGAACTTGGAGAGAAGAACAGAAAAGAAGAAGAAAAGAAAGAGAAAGAAGAAGCTGATAAGAAGGCGTTAGAAGAAGCAGAAGTGACCAAGTCTCAGGAAGAGCTAATGGAGATGAAAATGAGACTGGGAAAGATGGAAGAGACGATAAAAGAGATTGTTCTGGAAGCAAAGAAGCCTTCAGGGAATGATCCAACCAAAACACAAGGCGATCAATCTACTAAACTCCCACCAAAAGAAGAATCTAAAGCGAGCAACGAACAGAAGGACAGTGTACAGAAACCCGGTGAGAATCGAGCAAATGTGGATTCACCCTAGACCTCAGTGAGATGATTAGAAAAGAAAGTTAGGTGATAGGTGAAGAGGATTGTGCTCCTGTTTGGAACTAATGTTGTAGTTGCTTTCATTTTGTTGACTCACTTCAAAGGTTAAACACAAATCACACAAGAATTTTAACATTAAAATTAAACTTGATTCCAATTAAACAAACAAAACCTCAATCTGATTGAAAAAAATGGTTTTAAGTAGACAACTTTCTGTTCCAAACATAGACCTGGCAATGGTTCCTGCATGGAATAGTTGTCAACGCTACAAGGAAAACAAAGCCATATTTTGGAGAAAACAGACAAGAGTATACAAGAGAGCAAATCAGTTTCACTATCGTTGTGAATGCAAACAAAGTCCCACATTGGAAGTTTAGATAAATAATGTCTAATATATAAAGAAACGTCCAACTCTAATTAGTACGATACCTTTTGGGAAGGAGTCCAAAACCAAATCCATACGGGCTTCAAGGTAACTTCGCAATTAAGGGTGCTGGAGATCTGTAGCGAAAGTCTCTCTCTAACGATGATAAAAAGATTAGGTGGATATTCCTAGTGGTGTTGCAAGGTTAAGTGGTGAATGGCCTAATGATGCTGCAAAGTTTAGGTGAATAAATCCTAATGGTGTAACAAGGATTAGGTGAAGAATCATCACTACAAGAAAACAAAGCATTTACTAGGAAATTTTACTAGGAAAATACTTCCTCGTAAATTTACTAAGCCTTTACTAGGATCTTACGAGGAAAGCAAATTTCCTCGTAAGTTCCTCGAAAACTTACGAGGAAACACTTTCCTCGTAAGACCTTAGTACATTTACGAGGAGATTACGAGGAAATAATTTCTTACTACGAAATTAGGAGGAAATAGATAGGAAATATCGAATTTAAATAAAACACATGTTTTGTACCTACTTTTCCTAGCAATTTCCTAGTAAATGCTCAGATTCAAAATTTTCTATAAATACCACCTTATGTGATTCATTTGAAACACACCAAAAAAAAACAGCTATAAGCTTGATCAAACACAA